TCCAGTAACCAGCCACCGTAGCTCGGTTGGTTCTAAGCCCTGTTGGGTATTTCCTAACTCTTAAGCTAAAGAAATACCACTCTTTTTCACCCATCTTTGCCTCATCTGAAAACACAAACAGTCATAATCAAATCAAAAAGAACAGATTTTGATACGAAAAAATGGCATAATTCATTAGTACCTGGAAGCTCCCAAGGCTCACATCTATTGAGGTCAACTTCAGCAATATTAACCCCATGAAAGTTGGAAGCTTGGAAGGTCTTTGAAGCAAGATAATAGACAATGAGCTCTTCATCGGTAGGGTGAAACCTAAACCCTGGTGGCAGCCCATGCTTGTCCTTACCATTATCAGCTTCTTCAATTCCAAACATTTGGTAGATATAAGAGAATTGTAAGAGATTTTAGAGAGACCCTTTTGAAATTGTGAGGAAATATATATGAACTCAAACTCAACATCATGAAGGGGCTGATGATGATGATGATGAACACTGTTGCAATTATTCACCTTTTCTGGATGACCAGTAGTTTTGGAAAGGACAAAAGAAAGGAAAATGTTGAAGAGTAGACGAATTGATGGGTCAATGGAAAAAGGCATTGAATGCTAAATCAAAGCTCTAAAGAAGATGCTTTTTTAAGTTCGATCTGAATCTCCCGACTTTTTCTTCTTTGGTACTATGTTAAATTGTTTTACACCTACTTTTGTAACGGCTCATGTCTACTGCTAATAAATATTGTCTGTTTTAGCTCGTTACATATCGCCGTTAATCTCACGATTTTATAACTCGTCTACTAGAGAGATCTCCACACCTTTATAAGAAATAATGTTTTGTTCTTTTCTCCAATCGATATGTGAGACAAAGCAGACAATATTTGCTAGCGGTGAACTTGGGTAGTTATAAATGGTATTAGAGCTAAACATCGGGTGTTGTGCCAGCGAGGACGTTGAGCCCAAAGGGGTAGATTGTGAGATCTCACATCGGTTGGAGAGGGGAACAAAACATTGCTTATAAGGATATGCAAACATCTCCCTAGAGACACGTTTTAAAACTGTGAGGCGGTCAAAATGTACAATATCTGCTAGCAGTAGACTTGGGCTGTTACAAATGGTATTAGAGCCAGACTTCATACGGTATACCAGCGAGGACTTTGGACCCCAAGGAGGTGGATTGTGAGATCCCACATCAATTGAAAATGAGAACAAATTTTTTTTATAAAAGTGTGGAAACATCTTCCTAGTAGACGCGTTTTAAAACTGTGAGGCTGATGATGATGCATAACATCCAAGGTGGATAATATCTGCTAACAGTGGACTTAGACTGTTACATCACTTTACAACCTTATTTTGATTATAGTCTTGTTAACTTTCATACTCGAAAATGCCAAAATTTTACGTTATATTTCTACTTTTTTTCTATAAATGTAACACAATCTATCAATTCTAGGAAGTGAAGGAGAACACTTTCAAAACTTAACCTTTTTAATACAATTTTCCATAATTAGGTCAAGTCAAAAGAACAATTACACCCTCTTTGGTTCTTAATTTTCCCTTTTCCAAATGCCATTGGTGCATGAAACAAGTCAAACAATCGAAAAACCAAGTGGGGGCTAGTCTAACTAATACTCAAAGTCAGTAGCTTTTTCATTTATTTCACTTGAACAACCAAAACCCACATCAAAGCACTTAAAACCAAGAAAAAAAGACCCAAAAAAAAGGCAATGCCACGGCCAAACCCTCACAAAACCGCAACGGTGATCGACGAAGATCATTGACGGGAGGGGGCGATGGCGATGGCGATGGCAAGGAAAGGGTAAGTGATATAATAAAGAAGGTGACCAACTGAAGGGGGTTGTGGGGCTTTTGGTGTGAGGTCAAAATAAATTGAAGACCATATATTCATTAAAAGCGAAGGCTATGACCGACCTCAAATGGGCTATGGAGAAAATAATAGAGCAAAGGCCAGATTGACTACGATGAGTGGAAGGCCTTGGATTCTTCGTCGGGAAGGGAAGATAAGCTATGATTGTAATAATAATGATAGGTGTATGAAGATTGGACAAGAAGGGGATGGACTGCCTAAGAATCTACTCTTGCCATGTTGGGTGCCCTATAGATTGGTTGGGTACCCTATAGATGGTAAGTAAATTATTGAGTTAGGTTCAAGTTGACATAATTTTTTTCTTTGATTATACGTGATTATCATCGATTGTTTGCATTGTTCATTTGTTATTATGTATGCCCATATGGACCTTTAGGAGGCTCGTATACTTATCTCTAGACCTAGCATTCGATTAGCGCAAACTCATCCTGGAAAAGCCGTAGAGGGAAAGGATCGCGCATGATGTACATAATATCGTAGTATATGTGTTGCAATCAGTATAAAGGGAAGTACCCTGATGCACGTGACACACAAAATGCATGAGATGCTCATAGTTTTAAATCATGACATATACGTGTGATGCATTTCATACATTTGTTTTTTCATAAACATAACTTTCATAAATAACATACGTGGCTTAACATTATTTCATAAACTTGAAGTGAACTAACATATCACAGAGAGGTATCATGCATCATACACGTGGAATAAGTTACATAACAAACACAAACATCTTAGGGTATCACACATCCCATAAAATAGCTTTTGTCATAATATAATATAACATTATATGCATCAAAAAGTCAAAAAGTATGGTACAGGGAGGGGCTATAGAGCACGTGTCATTCATGCACCATACAATTCATCCAACCAAGTCAATAATAAAGTCACTTACCTAGTTAACTTAAATTGAAGTCACTACACTCCCTTTATGCTAGTTAAAAGTTGCTCCTTGAAATGCAATTCTCCATGGGGAGTCTACCATCATAACTTAGAATTCTAATCTCGAAATTGACTGAGCTAAGTAATTTAAATTAATTTAAAAAGTAGCCATATTAACCTTTTGCACACGGGGAAAAGTGTAAAAAAATGGCTTTCAAAGAATTAAAAGGTTAGAAAAGGGTTTGCGCATATCAGACCCAAGCGAGATCAACCAAGAAGCCGAGGTGGAGCTATAAGAAAATGAAATCTCCAACTGACCCCGAACTACCTAAGTGGGAGAAACGGAGCAATTGTTGTGACTCAATAAGCCAAGGGACCTCCCTTGTATATCGAAGTCCAACTCTCCACTTTCTCAATCTAATCGATGTGGGACAACCTTTTTTTTTTTAATTATTATTATTACTTTTTAATTTTTTGGTTGTTATATCATACATATCTAAAAGAAACTTCCTTTGAAAGTATCTTAAGTTTGTAATAACTTAAGTTTTCATCTATCTAGAGCGGTTCGTAATCTATAATATGTGTCAAGTGAGTCAAGTATTTGTGAAGCATGAATAAGTGGAATACGTTATGCACTACGAAGAGGGACAGTGGTATGGTTGATCTGTATACCACTAGTTCAATTTGATTTAGAATGTTGAAGGGTCCGATTAATCGTGAGCTTAGCTTGCCCTTTCGTCCGAACCTCAGGACATCTATCATTGAGGACACCTTCAAGAGTCTTATCGACTACCTCAAACTCCAAGTTTCTATACCTCGCGTCGGCGTAAATCGTTCGTGTATTCTAGGTTGTTTGCATTCTTACCTCAATCTTTTGTAAGACATCACTAGTGACTTGGGCTACCTCTTACCCTAAACCCAACTCCCTATCTCATCCCAATGCACCAACACATTGATTGTTTCAATATAAAGTTTAAAATAGTGTCATACCAATAGTTGTCTAATATTTGTGGTGGTAAGAGATTTCAATAAGATATAACTTGAAATCTCAACTGTTTATGAGACTGAGGCATTGCTATCGTTAATACTGACATCACATAGTCCTACCCATTCCTCAAGGTTGAGACTTTACTATGTGTATGCTTGTGAGTGTGATAACCTACCACTACTCGAACGACGGTGTGTTATCTTAGGTAAACCTATAAAAAAAAATTTCATAACATAATCTCAAGCTGTTGAACCTTTTGGTACTCCTCAAATTAATGTCCTTTAACAACTTTCCATCTAACCTACTACCTTAGAATAACTTAATCAACCTCGAGTTCACTCATTGTGCACTAGTGATTTAGTACCTTTTGGTACTCCTCAAATTAATGTCCTTTAACAACTTTCCATCTAACCTACTACCTTAGAATAACTTAATCAACCTCGAGTTCACTCATTGTGCACTAGTGATTTAGTGCAGATTCCAGATTAAGAACAGGGCAAACAGTATCATGTTCCTTTGATAAATATGAGGTATGGTGCTATCCCTTTGATGCTACCTTAGTACTCCAGCTAATCACCTCTTCATAACATCATTAAACTTCACCCACCTTCACATATCATCTAGCATGTCTTTATATTAAGGTCGATATCAACCAATTGCTTACCTTCAAAAATATCATAACTAGCTTTACTCACAATTGCTTTTGAATCTCGTTGATTAATTTCCCGACAAATTTAAAATCAAATCTTAAAGTAACAACCCTTTTAGGTTGCGTTTGGTATTGATATTGAGAAAGGTAATATTGTTTATAAAATAATTTACATAAAACTTATTTGCATTTCAATTTAGCAATCTCAAAAAATCACATAATATTGGTTATTATAGATAAATCGCTAACAATTTAGTATCAATTTACCAAACACTTTAATCTTACCGAACACTATCTTACTTGATATGAAACGATAATGGTTTTGATTAGAGATTATATAGTCAACAACACATCCTAGGTAGACTAGTTTCGATCGGGTTAATAGGCCAATGAGACGTGCTTAAGACCAAGAGAAAAGGGTTTTGTTTTCTAGGTGTACAAAACAAGTCCACCTAGAATGTTACCCATAATCCCTAATAATACATTCAACATGTGATTTAACTATTAAAGTTATAACATTAACGACAAGGTCTTGTTAAACACATAATTCAAACTCCAAAACCAACAGGTTAATGAGCTAAACTACGTTGTAAAGTGACCCTTTTTCATAGAAAACTAACATAAGGAGACAGCAAAACCATGTACCTACCTCCATCACACTCACGGCGGAGGAAGGGAATCAGCCACTGTTGGAGGTGCTCTGGACTTCATAACCACTACTTCCAGAATGCCATCGGGCCGAAAACTAGGAGACGACAACCGTGGATCTACTGGTCCGGGCAGTTTAAAAGAAACCGTAAAAGATCCGGGAGGACACAGCTGCTGCACTTTCATCTGATACATAGCTGATGAATCCTTCAAAAGGCCTGGACCTGTCATCACTCCTTCAATGTGAACCCTACCATCGCTTTTGATCTCAAACTTTACCTTACCTGGAAGAATTATCTAGTTGATTATCTTTCTAATAAGCAAACATATAAAAGGATGAGTTCTACACGAATGCTAGATTGAGAGAAAAATAAGACGAATCAAGGAGCTTACTTCGATCCTTCCGTACACCAGGCAATGCAACGCGGAAAAGGTATGCACCTTCACTCACGCCAATATCGACAAGACCAATCGGAGGGCCAGAACTACCTTCCTTGGCTGTTCCAGTTAGAATAACTGATGGCTTCAGCTTCATATGATCGCCATGGCCTTCCATGACCATGCTCCAGTCTCCACTTATGGAACTTTGTAGATTGTTTGTTTGATGTTTTCAATTCACCTGTTAATGAGGCACACAGATCTTAATGGGGATAGAAGATATTGAAACATACAATCCATGATGATCAAAGGAACCTTAGTACAAATGAGTACAATTTGAAAAATATCAAATGCTAAATACGCTTTAGAATGGTTGCTGTCATATGTTCGTTCCCTCTACACTATCATCGAAGAAAAAACTTACACAAAATAAGTGAACCGTTTCTTCGAGTTCGGGATAAGTTGATTTGCCAGAAGGTTCTCACGCTTTCGCTATTTACCTGAACGTGTGTATGTTCTAGGGTGTGTGGGGTGCTTCTAACCTGTTTCATTTTTGCCTTAAAAGGAATTCATTACCTAATAAACCAGATAAAGGTATTGGACCATGAAGTAACTTCGTTAAGAGATATGCCCTTTTAAATTTCAAGCACTGATTTAGAACTTCTTTTTCATAGACAAATCTGGATTACATGCAACAAGATATTTGAAGGTCAATGAATAATTGCTCCATAATATTCTTCTAAAGATTTTAATACTTGTGTAAGCATAGAGAACTCTCTTTTCACCGCAATGCATGCTGGTTGAAAGCGTAAACTGAAAATCGAAGCCCAACCACAGAATAAATCGTGCCAGTTGACCCGAGCATGCTATAAATCTGCTTATGTCAATATGATACGCATCACAGAAACAGGATTCTACATACCTGCAGCATATTCTCGATTCAGAAGGAAAGGCCATGTTTATATCCCAATGCCTATGAATTACAATAATAAACTCACAATTAGGAATTTGGCTATGTTTATATCCTTCAAATGGTTGTTTGACAAGCAAAGACAGAAAGATATTGAACTTCATGCAAGGATATTTTAAGTTATTGCTCACATAAATAATCTATATAATTTAGTTGATATTCCTGAATCTGTAAGAGACGACTGCTCCTCAAAGACAGATGAAGGGGTGTCTAACCCCAAATATGGCTATCAAATTTTGAAGTTTAACAAGTGGATCAAAAAGATTGAACCACATAGCTAAAAGATCAGTAATCAAATCCGCGGCCAACAGCACTAGCAGAGGGGGAAAAGTAAGAAATTATTATCACACCAGGACTTGTTAAACGAAAAATATTCAAATGGATACTGAATCATTAAATATTATATGAGAAGTTATATTTTCCAGTCCTTTCACATCTTATGAAGAACAGAAGGATCTCTTAGACATATTTGAAAGAAAATTGACCTGTTCAATTGAAGAAATGAAGCTCTAGAATAAGGAAAACGTTTCAATTACAATGGGATAAATTTTGAATCTAAAGCATAGATATGTTCCCAGAGTGGTGACATAGCAAAGGCTGGGAGCTCCTAAAATCCAGAGAATCACAAAAAGTGTAACAGTCCGTTTTGGCCTATTACGTATCAGCGTTAGCCTCACAGTTTTAAAACGCGTCTACTAGGGAGAGGTTTCCACATCTTTATAAGGAATGCTTCATTCCCCCTCCAACCAATGTGGGATCTCACAATCCACCCCCCTAAGGGCCCAGCGTCTTCGCTAGCACACCGCCTGGTGTCTGACTCTGATACCATTTTTAACAATCCAAGCCCACCACTAGTATATATTATCCGTTTTGGCCCATTACATATTGTCTTCAGCCTCATAGTTTTAAAACCCGTCTACTAGGAAAAGATTTCCACACCCTTATACGGAATGTTTTGTTCCCCTCTCCAACCGAGGAGGATCTCACGTAAAGCAATCTTATTGATTCTTGAGTAAAGTTCATGAAGTTCAGTTTTAAATTTCGTCTTACTGAATCGTCCAGTCACGAAACCAATACCTTCCCGCATTGAATTTTCTTTTTTTACAAGACTTGGGAGTAGTTGTGAGTTATCAATGGCTGGACAATGCTATTGACTCAGTGAATGGATCTAAAAAACCCATTTGTTTGGCTTGATTTTGGTTTAGCAATTATTTTCATACAGCTAAGAGGTACTAATTTCATCACTAATTCTGAGTTTAGGGTTAAAAAAGTTGAAAGTTTCAAAACCAAATACAGGGTAGAACATGAATCTTCCTTCCCCACCACTGTATGATTTGTAAGTTTGTGTGTGCACATAAACAAGAAGAAAACAGCAAGGGATTCTACTGAAGAACCAACCAAGAACAAGAAAATAACATACGGATTTCGCGACGAGCGACCAGAAGAAGAGCCGCAATCAGCACAAAATAAATGAGCGTTAAACCCCGAAGAAAAATCGAGAAATAAAGAACGGAAGCAATGTTGGAGAAATAATTGAAAAAAGTTGCAAATCACATTGTGAAAGACGTTTGGCAATACACAGAGAGGAAGAGAGAAAAGCGGAAAACGGGAAAAGCAAGATGAAAAGATGAAGAAAAGGGTGGTGGTGGCCGGAGAGAATACCTGAAAGTGGTGTTGGAGGCGGGTTTTGACAGCTTCAGGAGGCTTGGTGTGGGCAATTGGCAGCTTCTTCAGGAGGCGGCTTTTGGGAAGTTCAAAAAGGAAAGAGAGAAAGCTAAGTTGACAAACAAGCCCAAGAAATTCATTCGCCCTTCAAATCGAAGGAGACAATAAATTATGTGTTCAAATTTTGCCCCTCTAATTTTTTTTTTCCTTTGCTTAAATTTTTTATTTTTAAAACTTCTATTATATTACATTTTAACCAGCCACACAACCGGAAAGATTAGGAGATTTGTAATGATCTTTGTTTGTTTTAGTCTGTTACATATACATATCGTAGTTAACCTTCGTAGTTTTAATGCGTCTACTAGGGAGACGTTTCTACACAAAAAATGATTCGTTCCCTTCTCTTGAGATCTTACAGTCCACCTCTTATGAGTAAGGTCTAGCTCCAACATAATTTTTCAATTTGAGTATGTCATCCTTGCACAAAGGTCATGCTAATATTTGCTGTGTCGTTCCAATTTTATCGAATATCCCCGTTATTCACTAGAACGCCGCTTCTTATCCAACTTGCAAGTGTTAAGAATGCAACCAGCATTTAATGAGTGAGAACCGAACTCTACGTTAATTTCATAATTGCATTACTTATAATTTCCGTGTCTATTGACAAAGTTAATAAAGACCAAAAGAGTTATTTTTCGTATAAAAATTCTGATTCTCCAATTTTTTGGTTTGATAAAACCTCATAATTAAAGAATAAATTTATAATTGAACTTTTAAATTACAAGTAATCATAGGTCAACTATAAACACCAATTTGCTAAATCATATGAAATGAGTAAAACTAAGCATTTTAAATAATCAAATACCAAAACTAATTAAAAAACTAATTTAAATTATTAATTCTTTAAAAGATGTTCATAGAAAAATAGCTTATTTTGTCAAAACGATAATTCCAACATGAATTTAAAGTTGAGATAACAAGGGGAAAGCAATTGATTAAGGTAAACAATGCAGTTACAGAACTAACAGCCTATCTAAAACCAACTCTTCTTCTAACCTCAAAACTCAATGATACAATCTGACAAACCGGGTTTGATCACCAAAACATCAGAAACTGAATCTCTCCCTAACTTGCTCTTGCTATTATCATGCTAAAAACTGAAACTTTTTTGAAATACAACACCCATGTGTGGATGCGATGTGTCATGTGTCACAGCTAGATTGAATTGCTAGGATACTTACTTCCATGGCATGCCAGACATGCCCTGTGGATGGTTGTTGTTGTTGTCGTCGCGGGCTCCAGAGCTGTTGTTAAGGGGGCTGTCAGGGTCGCCACTGGAAGACTCACTAGGCGTCCCGTGAGAAGGACTACTGGCTCCTCCTCCTCCTCCTCCTCCTGTTAAGTGACCAAAGCCAACTGGGTTTGGCATTTGCGAGGCGAAGACGGGTTCTGTTTGGCTGTCTGACTTCGGTTCCTTGTTGCTGTCGACTACGAAACTTCCCACGACCACCTGCATATTCGTTTCCAGAATGCAGAACCAATGTCTAAGTGAAAAAACTGGATAGAGAAATCAAAAACTAGCCAAAGTTTCTGTGGAGAAGCCCAAGCAGAGAGATAATTAAGTGTTGACTGAGTTGTCTATGGAAAAGAAACTAATTTACCTGAACAGGAGATGCAGCCGTGAGAAGACCCGCCACACCACCACCCAACACTCGGCCGTCTGGACCAGACAAAGACACACTCAAACCACCAGTTCTGCTTCTCTGACCACCATTTTCAGACAGCAGAAATGAACCTGAGAGTGACAGGATTTCAAACCGGCCCTGCATGATGACAAAAACTAAGCAACTCATAAACTTGTATTAACAATTATCCTTCAAACAAATGCAAGGAAACACAGTTTTATCTGTCTTAAAACTATATATGCAGCATGAGCTTACAAACCTCATAAGTAACAGTTCCACCAGATATAGCAGATTGACGTAATGTCACATTCGATATTGCTCCATTTGCAGAGAGGATACATATAGCCCTAGGGCCATTCTGAGAAAAAGACATTATTTTCGACGATACATCCTGCAACACCGCGCGCCAATCAAATTATTGTTACTTGGGCAGAAAAACGAACGTAAGAATAAAATGAGCATAAAGGATGTGAGAAAGAAATGAATGCGCAGTTGAAAATAGTGTTATTAATAAATCCATCCTGCAAAAAAAGCAATCCTGGTACACTATACACTCATGGACTTCAAGTTGAGAATAAAAAAAAGTTAAGACATGACAACATTCCACGAGCTTCTGCTTTTATCCTGTTGCAAGAGTAAAAAGTGACAATAAGCATCTTACCTTCTATTCATGAACAATTCAGTGCCACAATGTAGGAAACAGTAAGGGCATCCAAAAAGCATTCAATATAACAATAATTTACATTGGATGTGCAACAAAATGTATTGTTTAGTCATTCAAGATGCTGATATTATAAGTAAAAATAATTGAGATGGCCAGAAAAAGGGTCAGAGAGTATTTTAAATTAGAACCTCTCCGGCTTTCACATCAATAACATGTGGAGTGAATCCAATACCAGCTGGTCCTGCAAGTAATAGGTCTGTAGTAAGACACAGTTTTCAATAAGACAACCAAGATAAAATAATTATCACACAATAGTTTAGAAGATAAACAATAGCAACGCTTGGACACTTATAAAGTCAACCAAAGTAAGATTCCCTTCCTTTTCACCTGTTATTGTCTTCTTATTACAGTGAAACATTATAATTTCAGTCATGTACACACAAAAAAAAGACAAAAAAGGAATGGGAAAAACAGTAATAGACAAATAGGAGATGTCTATTCCACCAGAAAAGGTATGTTTGATTAGCGTTCCAACATTCGATGCAATTTCGTAAAGATAATTAGATTTCCATAACAACAATTAATTAGTCTTGACGTAAATGCGACTAAATGACTAAACAAATATTGGTCAAACAACACAGGAAGGAAGGGAAATAGGGAAATAAAAACTAAGATTTGTTATCATTTTAAGAAGCACATAGCAGAAAATGCAAGACAACGAAAAGGGCAAATACGTAATTTCATGCTTACAATCTCATCTAGGACATAAAAGAATCCAACTTCCCGGATAGATATCACTATCTTTTCCATACTTTTTAAGGCTTCAAGACAGAGATGATGCATGTAAACAATAAGGAATCCAATTAGATATACCTATTCCAAACAACTCATATAAATAATCACAGTAAATTGGTCAACTCAAAACTGCTATCAATCTAGAATATTCCTATTATTACCATTGCCCACGTGAAAGATACAATATACATAATGTTAAAGCAACGAGCATAACAAATAGCAGTCAAGTAAGCATCAAATCCAGAGACCCAACTGGATCTCGTCAAGGAAGAGTATCTATCGGGCAAGACGCTTATAATATTTAGTTACCCAAAGCTTCCAATTGTTGTTTTTTCTTAGAACCATGTGGCCTGCCTTTAGTTTTCTTCATTGAATTTGGTGAGGCTAATCCCTCTGAAGCAGGATTAGCCATAGTTGAAGGAGAAAAACCTCCACTTCCTGAAGGCGGCCCAGAACCTAAAGCTAATGCCATGGAGCCATCTGGTCCATACTTCCTCGGCCTCCCCCTTTTCTTCTTTGTTTGCTCGCTGCCCACCGAATTTATGTTGAAACCATGAGGCAATATAGACCCCCCACCAGCTGATCCCTCAATTCCGTCATTACCAGAAACTCCGACCATGGAGGACTGATAGGCCGGTGAGGTTGAAGGAGTTACAGGCTTGTACGCGGCCGTACCATCGGCGCTGAAGGTTAATCGCATGTTTTGGGCCGCCGCCTGCGACTGTAAGGAGCTATTCTGAACGCCGATGCTAAAGGGCTCCCTACTCGTCACCACACCAGTCTCAGATCCCGACATTTTGCTCCTCTCTTTCGCTCAGCAGCTCGAATCAAAACTCTACCGAAAACCTGGAAATCAAAAGTGCAAATACGCGAAGAAGAATCACGTGATTTTGGATCATCATCTCGATAATCAGCCATGATTTCTATTCCGATAAAATACGGAAACGCAAAAGCCAAGATCTATCACACTAATGAAGATTTTGAAATGTATTTAGTTCGCAATCTGTAACATACCCACACCAGTGCTAGAAATGATAACAAAGAATTAACAGAAACAAAACTAAGAAGCTGATTAATGATTTCCTAAATGCGAAATCAAACCAAAGCGAAGTAATGTTTACAAGAATTAACAAAAACCCTAAAACCCCAAAAGTCCAAGATTTCCTCAAATTTCTTAACAAAATCCAACGAAATGCAAGGGAGAAAAATCCTATTAACTTGAAAGCGCTAACAGAGTATTTGGCTAAAGTACAGAACAGATCATGCAAAAAATGAGAAAATTAATCCTTAATAAAAGGAACAAAAAGAAATTCAAAGAAAAATTGAAATATATTGATTTTATTTATGAAAAAAATCAAAGAAAGATGGAAAAAATGGGGGAAAATGAGGAAAAAATGGAGAAAATTACCACAAACTTACAAGTAAAATAGGAAAATTAGTGGAGAGTGATAATCAAAGGAGAAGGAAAAAAGTTAGGGTTTTGGAGGGGAAAACGAAGGGTTTGTTCAAAGGACATTTTGGAAAAGAAATGCGGAAATGAGAAATATTTAAATATATTTTTTAATTATGGGATGATTTGTGGTTTTAATTATAAAATATTTATTTTGATAATTAGGGATTACTTTCCTTTTACGGCTTTTATTGGGGGAAGAGAAAAAAAAGAAGAAAAATTAAAAAATTAAAAAAAAAAAAAAATTAAAAAAAGGAGCAGATAAAAAGTGCAAGGGTATTTCAAGATTCCCCACTACTAAAATGCCCCAAAATGTAACGGAGGGGACGTAACTAGTTGTTAATTCCTTATACTCAGGTTATATGCTATCAAAGTCGTTGTTGTCTACTCGTTTTTAGCTTTTATAACGTTGCTTTCTTTAAAATTGTTTTCATCGTATTTCTTCGCTCACGTTTTCTAAAATAATTTTCTCAAATGTGACTCGATTTTGTCCACGAAGTGTGAATTTCATATGGCTGACTTGTTCGCTAGGTTAGAACAAGTACCACACAATCGTTGTCTCGCTGCCGTAAGAGTGAGATTGTGACAAGTGGTATTAGAGCCGATTTGGCTCCTTACAAAGTAGTACACAAACATGTCGGCTGCAAAATAACTAAGCAAGACCCAAACTCACCGATGGGATGAAATCAAAGAGTAGTTATTGTGTATGACTTAAGTTCCTTATGGAATGGGGCTTTTGGAATCTCGCATGAATGAGATTAATTTTTTCTTAAAAAATAGATGGGCCCTAGCAGACAATGCCACAACTGCTCATGCCTTCTAGCATAGGGATAGCTTAACTAGCTTTGTTGGAAGAACGGTAAAAGGGCTTAGACAATGCCCAACAAGCGATCGTTTAGATGGTCACAGAAATGTATGAGGATTTGAGAGCAACCCTTGGAGTGGTCCGCTCAAGTGGTGGGTTTAGGTGCCATATTAAATCACACCATGAGAGCAGTGGAGAACCAAACCCCAAGAGGTGTAGTACAATTTAACAAGATCATGGTCCCGGAGCCCAAGTTCTTCTGTGGAGTTCAAGATGCCAAGGCTCTTGAGAACTTTATCTTTGGACTCGAACAGTACTTTCAAGCCACATAATAATGTGGCAGAAGAAGCGAAGGTCAGTTGACAACAATGTATCTAATCGACAATGCAAAGTTATGGTGGAGATCCAAGTACATGGACATTCAAGATGGTCGATGTACTGTGGACACTTGGGAGAGCTTAAAAACAAAACTCCGCTCTCAATTCTTCCCAAAGAATGTTAAGATAATCGCAAGAAGAAAGTTAAGAGAGTTGAGGAATACTAAAAATATTCGAGACTACGTTAAGTAGATTTTTTGGGCTTATGTTAGATATTTGTGATATGTCCAAGAAAAACAAAGTCTTCTATTTTTTCGAGGGGTTGAGGTCGTGGGTGAAAATGAAGTTTTACGAACAAAGAATTTAAGACCTTTCCACGGCTTATGCTACAACCGAACTACTGTTTGACCTTAGTATCGATCAACTCCAAGAGATAAGGTAGAACTAGGCGTCCGTAAGTGGTGTGAATAAGAATTATCGACGCAACTCCCCCAAAGGTAGGGAAAGTGTCAGACTCGAAAGTGGAGGAAGGGAATGTGAGTCCTCCCAATAGTGAGGTAGAACTCTATAGTGGAGACGTCACAACCAAAACAGTCACAGTGAAAGCCAAGGCTCCTCGTCTTGCTTCATATACAAAGGATCCCATCAAGAATCTAAATGCCCACAGAAAGCGGCATTATACACCTTCCAAGCAAAACTCGAAGTGAATTCAGAAGCCGAGTATGAGACGGTAGAAACAGAAATATTGTTAGTTGAAAATGTTGAACACCCTCGTGTGGGGTCGTCCTCTCTCCGGAAGAGAGTGGAAGAGATAGAGGAGCTAGTGGAATTTGGTCTTATGTATGTTGAGACCCGAATTAATCACTAAGCGGCCAGGAACACGATTCTTGTCTTTGAAGCCACCCACAATTTCATGATAGAGACCGAAGCAAAACGATTGAACTTTCTTTGACATCAAGACACAAAAAAAGATGATGGTCGTCAATTCGGTAGCTTTACCTGTCTTAGGAGTTGCAAAGAGAACTCCAATCAAACTCGAGACTTGAACTAGACAAACTAACTTTATGATAGTTAGATGAATGACTTCAAAACTGTGTTAGGGATGGACTTTCTACACAATTCTCATGCCCCTAGCAAAATGATTTATAGTAACGAGGTCCAACTCGACGATTATTCAAATAAACACTTCTCAATCGAGAGGGGTAAAAATGATGTCGGCACTACAGTTGAGAAAGGATCTTAGCCATGATGAACCAACGCTCGCTGCCATTGTCGTAGTTAAAGAGGGGAGCTAAAGTGAGCTCACTCCGACAGAAACCTTGTGGCCACTACATGAACACCACGACACAAGACTAGAAAGTCAGATAAAGTATTTATCTCCATATGAACAGATTGATCACGAGATTGATGTTATGTCGGGGGCGAGATCGCCTACCACAAATAAATGTCATACGACTCAATCTGAACTAGCTGATTTCTATAAATAACTAAATTACTTGCTAACAGTTGGGTTCATTAGACTCAAAAAGACTGTTGTCAGTGATCACCCAAATACTACGGAGACACATCAAGCCAACACCTCCGCTGAGGGAGGAAAATAGAGACAAACCTTTGAAGCAACGCATGTTTATCGAGAAGTACCATCTAGATGAATGAAGAGAAGAGCCAGTTAGAAGCATCGGGCACGAAAGTTTCAAGACGGAGAAACAGTTAGTAACTTGAAACATTATTATCCCAATAAGAAGACATCAAAGCACAAGGAGACAACACGACCTCATGCAAAGAAGAGGAATGTTCCAGCGAAGAAATTAGGAGAGACTTCAACAGAGAAGACATAAAGACTCAACGAACTGAAATGTGATTTTCAACTGTTCTTAGAAGATTGGAAGAAGCTCCTCAATACCGAGATTAGTTGGATGTGCGTCGAAAGTCCTGAAGTCAGTCTCATCTTACATCACTGAGTTCGCGAATAGTTGATTGACAGAGACGTCAACCAATTGAGTAGGGGAGGATGTCACGGTCATGCTTATCCAAGGCGTGTTGTTTGTGGCCGCATGTTGAATGTCTCAATCATGCTTATCCAAGACGTGTTGTCCATGGTCCCATGCCTGTTTCAAACTTCTTTTACTTGCTTTCATATTAGATAGATCTTTACTATTATTGTTGTATCAGTACAAGGTTGTATGAACGGTCAACTAAATCATGTCTACACCAATTAAGGCTAAAATACCCCAAAATATATTAAAGTGGGATGTGATTAGTTGTCAATTCTTCGTACCTCGATTATATGCTATCAAAGTCATTGTTGTTGCCTACTTGCTTTTAGCTTATAACATTACTTTCTTTAAAATTATTTTCAACGTATTTTCTCGCTCACATTTTCTAAAATAATTCTCTCAAACGTGACTCGAAGATCGAGCATACGTTGATATTATTCGCGAAGTGCAAATTTCACAAGGCTGACTTGTTTGTTGGGTTAAAACAAGTGTCCAACAATCACTATCCCACTGTCGCAAGAGTGTTATTGTGACATTGAACCACTCTTGGGGTCACTGCTTGCCTTCCACTCGTTTGTGGCTCGGTTAAGTTGTCCCTCTTGCACGCGACTTTAGTAACTCAATTTTGACTCTGACTCGGCTTGGACGACATATTCAACTCGATTTGGGGCTGTTTGGATTCATTTCTTACTTTTTCAACCCTTCCAAAGTTGTTTTTGATGAATTAGAGGCATTTGAGGTCACTATGACCCGTGTCTCTAAATTCAAAATATTTTGGGCTAAAAATTTGAATTATTAGATACCTTTAATTAAGTTAATGAGCAGTTAAGCTCATTAAGTCTAATTTGATATCATGGATCCACATAGGTCAAATCAGAAATTGATGAACATATTTTGGTTAGCTCTAGAATTATTTAGTGACTCTGGCATAGCCCAACCAATTAAGTAGCTCTATTGTTGGCTTGGTTAGATGAATTGTATTATGTATTATGACACGTGCTCCATGACCTCTACACATGTTATAATTATGATTTTTATGATAATGAAGGATTGACTTGGATCATGAATTTATGTCATGATCTTAAACTATAGGAACCTCATGCATTTTTTTTTTTTTTTTTTTGTCATAAGCATCGGAATACTTCTTCGTTAAGATTAGTACGTACGCGTACCTTTAAACTTACGAAATTTATGTTCGCCATGATCTATGCAAGTTCTTTCCCTCCTGATGTTTGGCAGCCCGTTAGTGAGTGCTAGCCCGACGGGTTAGGTTTAAGGGGTGCGGAAGCCCGTTTGGTAGGTCCATGTAATTTATATAGGATCATGTTCAAGTAATAACTTAAAAAGTCTATATTATAGGGATAAAGTTTAGTGTCATATGAATCACTTTGTAAGTGCTACAAACAATTTGATCAAAATCATTCATGTGGAGACATGTAAGTGAGAATATACGGCAATAAATTTATATAAGATTCAATCACAAAATATTAAATTCATAAATTGAGAAGATTAATATTTTACAAGATGATAATATGAGACTCGATCTTAATGCTGAGTGAGTTACAAACTTTTGAGAGTTTGTCCTTTGATTTGCATAGTGAAACTGACTTCCATAGTCCATTTAGCATGCCTATTATTTTGGCACTAAACCAAACAAGGAATTGGAAGCATAATTTTACGGGATTAAATTTGTTCGTTCTCATATAACAGAGTAAATAGATGAGTAATTCTCGCAAGTGTTGATTACGAGACTTGCACAATGGGGTTTGGCTCTCTCATTGACCCTAGCTCTTCCTTGTAACACCATTTTTAATTTTCATGAAAGAATCGAGGGAAGAAACACTTTAAATAGAGTTGGGGAGGCACATTTTCAGGCGACAGCGCAAAGTCCACACGCATCTTCTTTCTTCCGGAGGAAGAAGATGATGATGTGGATGGTTCAACTGAACCGACCCTATCAACCCAATATATTATATGACAAATATTTCTCAAATTCTATATAAATAGGATTTTCGTGTTGAACTAATCGAGTAATTCATAGTTTCTCCTCTCTAGAGAAAAGAGAAAGTATTTCTCAAATTCTATATAAATAGGATTTTCGTGTTTGATAGCTCTATTAGTTTCTTCCATGCAATCAAGACAGTCTGTCTTATGCATGAAAGCGACGTACCCACAGACAAGCGCGTTACACGTAAACGATACACGTCCACATATATGAAGAATTAAATATGCTTTTATTAAATTCACATTTTCTCTCCTCTTTGGACGAGCTAACTTGGTTGTATTCCTGGTTCAAGTTTTTTGTGAGATCCTACATTGGTTGAAGAGGGGAACGAAGTATTCCTTATAAGGGTGTGGAAACCTCTCCCTAGTAGACGCATTTTAGAACTGTGAGACTGACAGCGATACGTAACGGGTCAATGCGGACAATATCTGGTAGCGGTAGTCTCGAGCTGTTGCATTTTTGTACTTTTGAGATTATATGCTTTTTAAGAGGAAACCTTGATAAAACACAGTTTGTCCAAGCAGTGTTTCATGATCATCGGTCTCCATCCAACATTCCAACTCCTATACTAGTTTAACAGGTTTTGGTTCGGACAAGAAGGTTGCTCCGAACCCGCACACGTACGAGAAGCTCGAGGAGTCTTCTTCCTTCATTATCACATCATATTTTAGCCCCTTTCATGCCCGGCCTCCAATGACACCATTGTGCATGCTGCAAGGTAAACTCCCCTTATGTACAAAAGCTATGAAATCAAATCACTTTCATGATTGTATTGATTAGATATTATCCGCTTTGACCCACGGTTTTAAATTTTGTCTATTAGTGAGAGGTTTCCATGCTCTTATAAGGAATGCTTCGTTCCCCTCTCCAACCACCTCACAATCCACCCCCTTGGGGACCCAGCATCTTTGCTCGTCCACCGCCCAGAACCTGACTCTAATACCATTTGTAACGACTCAAGCCCACTGCTAGCAGATATTGTCTACTTTGGTCCATTACGTATCACCGTCGGTTTCACGATTTTAAAACACATCTATTACGGAGAGATTTTCAGACCTTTATAAGAAATGTTTCATTTCCTTCTCCAACTGTGGGACCTCACAGAAAATTATTAAATCAAGTGGCCATGAAGGTTAGAGACAATTTAATACTTTCTCTTCTCTAGAGATTAAATATTTTATAGTCCAATCTTATACAAATTTATTGTATAAAATATCTCCATTCTCGTATCTTCACAGAAATGATTTAGATCAAATCATTTGTATCAATTACAAGGTGAATTACATAATAGTGTTACAACATAATATTGCATAAGTTTGTGTGGATTTGTTTTTGGGCTTCCTAAAAAGCCTATAACAACTCAGGTATATTCTTTGCTTATAAATTGATTATAATTAGCTAATTGTGGACTCCCTGCTGACCTTTAGATCTAGCATTTCCAAGTTGGTGGCATTTGGTGACGCCCATGTCTGCCTGAAGTGGCCAGTTTGGCAGCCATTGAAGCTCTCTCTCTGTTTTCTTTTCCTCCCCACTCATCAATTTGGCCGCCAGTGCGCAGATCCACTGATGGGTTATGAATTATTTGATATACAAGACAAGATGAACCACTACCCAACCCATAACATGCTTCCCATTCTCACCAACAAACCTTTTTGTTGGCAGATAAGTTTTAAATTAACATGTGGAATATTATGTGTACTCTGTCTCAGGGCTGCCCATATCTGTTTAAATATGTGTGTTCTTGCAGTTCCTTTTATAGGCCTATAAGGTGTTTGATAAAATGCCTAAGAGACTACAACTTGAGGAGGCCACTGTGAGTTGGGAGATAGGAAGAGTGAGCCATGTTGGAGAGGCAGGGCACGTGCTGGATTTAGCAGCTAGATGGAAGGTCTTAGCATGTGCCCTTTTTCACCAACTTGGATTCTCTTTCTTTTCAGAACAAATTTGTATGCCTCTACGTTGAATGAAGGGTAATTGCGTTTTCTTACTTCTTTGATTCTAACTTGAATGCTTCAGCTGATGTTCAGTTCAGTTTAGATAGGGAATTAAGGTATTAGTTGTGACGGTTGTTTACATTGTTTGAACTTTGAACACTTTTGATATGATTTAGCGTATGTTTAATAGAATATGTATGAGTTCCCACGTCGGCTGGAGAGGAGAATGAAACATTCTTTATAAGAGTGTGGAAACCTCTCCCTAGCGGACGTGTTTTAAAAAAACATTGAGGGAAATCCCGAAAGAGAAAGCCGAAAGAGAACAATATCTACTAGCGGTGAGCTTGAGTTGTTACAAATGGTATTAGAACCAAACACTGGGCGATGTGCCAGTGAGGAGGCTGAGACTCGAAGGGGGGTGGACATGGACGTGGACTTCGAAGGAGGGGTGGATTGGGGGGTCCAACATCGATGAGAAAAAGGAAAGAGTGCTAGTGAGGACGTAAGGCCCCAAAGGGAGTGGATTGTGAGATCCCACATCGGTTGTAGATAGAAACGAGTGTGTTCAAACAATAATATGTGTTAATTTTTCAATGCAGCAATTCCAGCAGTGACCGATGAGGAAGACAGCAAGGGCAACAGCTAGATGGTGATTGAAGTCATTACAAAGGCCTAGAGGAAAGTAAGTGTCATGACGTGATTAAAGAGGATGGTGTTGTCATCTAATGCATCAAAAATAGTGGAAACGAACGTAAATCTAAAGCCAAACAAAAACGAAGTGATAGTGTCGTCTATGATGCTAGAGACAAACCTAATAGGGTCAAATGGGGCCTTGAGCCATGACCTCAAAAGTTGTAGTTTTGACCCGTGACTCTAGAATTAAGTTTCTTTAAGTTAAAAGATACAAGTTTATCAATGTTTCAAGTTGGCATATGACTCCTCACTTATTTTGATGTGCTCAGAGTCATATCAAATATGTTTTAAAATGTACTATAGGAGAGTAGAGAATGTTCATTTAACTACGTGAAGAATTTCCATTTAAATGAGAAATATGGAGGGAACAAGGAGAGATTTCTCTCCGTTAACTAAATAAGATCGAGGATGAGAATAACATACCTTACTTCGTCCCTAGCCATAAATATAGTGTGAGAAGACTGTGTTGTTATTAAAATTTGAATTTTTAGAAATTAGGTTGAACATTATATTATATTTTTATTTACAAAATATTATTTTATTTATTATAATGTTTTACATTAATAGAAATTATATTAGAAAATAAAAATTATCCATTAAAAAAATATTTTAAAGGTATATATAATGGAAAACATTCCGCATGAAATCTTTGTCTTGATCCTCGAGAAAATAAATGAAGAATTTCATGAGAATAGATAATGAAATAGTAGATAGAGATGGAGACGAAGAAGGCTTCTTTGTACTCGCATCCATCTCATGGACATCTCTGCAGGGAAGGCATGGTGTTGGCTCTTCACCACTATGGACCTCATGGTCTAAGTGAGCTATCTCTTGACATATGCATGTCATGGCGTGGACAAGCGTTATAAGAGGAGTGTCTTAGGCATCTTCTTTTGAGATTGAGATTCCAAGAATATTGTCTAGTGACCAAGGTGTGCAGATGTTGCACCTTTTCCCATGAGTCAAAGGTTGCGTTATAGAATCGGGCTTCACACGATCTGTAAAAAGGATTTGTCATGGCACAAAGGAACTCACATTGAGTATGCTTGAATAGATGGATATTCGAGAGATCCAAAATATGAAGTTAACTCATGGTTTGATTCTTGATAAGTGCACTCGAGCGAGCTGCAAAGGCGAACAACATCACAATGTTTAGGGTGGAATCACATAAGGTTCCAGTTGACTTAAGACTTGCCCAGTTATTTCGACAAGTGCTTGAATCACCTAATTAAGTACAAGTTTTGTTTGACCCAACAAAAGAGTTTAAATTCCTTCAAATAATGTCCCCAAATCAATGTAGAAGCATGAGGGTCCTTTTATCCCGAACCATAAAAATCAAATAAGATGCAACATTGCATTTGAAGGACCTTAACCTAGAAAAAAGGTAAGATTAAGCCTTAAGACTTTACCTAGATTAAGCTTAAATTCTCCTTAATGTTAACCACAATCATGTATAATTCATGATATCAACACGACTTGAAAAGTACGATCATGACACTCGATTCGCAAGGAGCTAGATGAGAAGAAACTCTCATGTCCGATTTTGTAGTAGAGATGAAATTGAGAAATAGCAATCAACTATATCCTAAAAAGAACCAGGTTTCGTCAACATTAGAGGAAGAATGAAAGGAATATCTTATCGAGCCAATAGTATTTGCTTCAGTAGATACGCTATTCAAGCACTTGAACCCGCTTGGATCACATCTAGACACATCGAAGCTGGACGAAGGGCAATGACACGAATGGCATGTTTTCCATTTGCAATGCCGTATCTACAACATATACATTGGAAAAGGATTTAGTGGACAAGTTGATACTAATTAATTTGATTTATAATCAGTAATCATTTGAATTAATTTTCGTTGATTGGCCAAATCCAACTAATTGATTGAGAATTGACTGCTTATAAAGCACTTAATGATTATCAAAATTATAATAAACGACTTTATATTAAAAGGAATCAGCAAAAACTCATCTAATTCCATCTCTCATCATCACAAGATTGGACCAAAAAAAGTCATTTTATGGAAGAAAAGATGAACACAATGAATTCACAGAATGTATTCAGAACCTAACCATCATCAAACACAGAAGGATGAACTAAGTACTCGATAATATCCTCCGATGCAGTCAATCTCAACCCGACACGCCATCAACGGGTACTAACATGAAAAATCAACAATTCAATCTTCTGGATTGGATAGAACCTGAAGCTGCTTCGTTCTTATGAAGTCAGGCCTCAAAACAAATCCAAATTACAATAAATGCTATATATAACTAATATGCACATGAACTTATGAAATCATATATTAGTTCCAAGATGATGGTAGACCCACTACCACACAAAGCACCATAGACTTCTTCCTATACACCCAAAATGCTGGGAGTTTACTATGAAAGAATCATATATTGATTCTAATTTTGACTTCTTTTTACAAGTTTTTATTCCTAAATAGATGCTTAAACCCGATTCAAGCACCCGTCAATCAATCCATGACGACTACCTACCACTCTCCAGAGCGTCGGTAGTGTGTAAAAGTTTATAAACACTGGGGAAGAAGAAAGGTCTTCCATATTCCTTCTCCACCATCTGGAGCGACTCAAGACCATCTGGCGTCTCTGGTAAGCATGACTATGACCTGCAGCAGTTAAGTACCAGAACACTTTTAGATCAACTGCAAACAATGGAAAGCAATATGTTCATGTTTACAAGTCGATCGATATTCAACTTCCAGAAAATAAATGTCATGCGGTGGATGCGAGAGGGGGAGGAGTGCAATTTGCTAACATTCTACGGTATGGTGTTCGCATCATAAATAAACGTGTTCATTGGGACAACTTCTCATTTGATATAATGATAAGGATTAAAAGTTTAAAAGATACAAACACCCAAAGGGAGTGAAAAAAAAATTAAAAACACCAAAGACAACCATGAAGAACTTCTCATAAACCTAACAAAACACAGTCCTATATAAAAAAATGACTATTATTGAGCTTTGCCACCATTTTGAGAAACTTGAGAAAACTAGGGAGGTCCTTCTAAATCTGCTGCTTTAACTTTTACTATGGCGAAGCAAGTATTGTTCAGCTTTTTTCATATCGATCAAGCGGGTTTCGTTTCATTTTCCGGAAAGCCTGTCATACTATTCCACTTTTGTTTATATTAGAGAAGAATCTCTGAATTCTTTTGAAGAATTCTACTCGATAAAGCACTATTTCATGACAGATCAATTCCAGCCACCCATCAAGGTGTGCAATCCAAGCTGAATGTTTGTTCATAAAAGCGGAATTTGACTTCATAAAGGAGGCTTCAACAACCAAGACACAAAGGAATGCACCATGAGACTATTTGAGGAGAAACACGACAACCTCTAAAAGAATAAATAGGTGGATGAATGATAATTAAATTCCATGGAATTAGTGCAAAAGCAGCAGCTCTCAAATATAGACAATAAAAGTCTTCTTGGAAATGAAAACACCTTAAGAACTTCTTTATGCTTCTTATTTGGTCCAACACATGTTGGCGAGCTTGCTACCCACGTTTCATATTATCTCTCAAAAAACTAGTCATTCTTTCATATTTGGTCCAACACGGAGTTTCTTCCTACCCATGTTTAGAGGTCAAACAACACATTTAGTAAACCATCCTGGTTGAGACTTGAACTTAGATAAACGAGAAGTACCAAAGGAATCTCTACCACCTTCCTTGAGAAATTTAGAATCAATCAGCATATGCAGAACATCTAACAAAAAAAAACTCCCAAACCAACCAAGATGGGACATGGAAAAAGGGAATGGTTGCTTAAATGTATATTTTCAACAAAAGTTGTTTTCTTTTCTCTTCAAATACTGAAAAATGTATTACAAACACAACTTTTGCCTTCCATGATGAGAGAAAGATGCTAACCAATACCAATCAGCTGAGAATTCAAAAAATGGGCTTAAAACTAATAACCTAATCTGGAAAAATGAAAAAACGAACTCCGATGGCAAATGGAGGCTAAAAAGCCAGGAGGATGAGGGGAGAAAAGGAGAGAGGAAAGAGCGTTTATTTTACCAAGATCCTTGTTGGGAGGGGTTTTTCTCCCATCGTTCTACCAGTGCTTCTTCTTATTTTAGACTCCCCACAAATTAGTTGTTCCCTTAGTATTTGACTCATATTCCAGAATTGTGGCTGCTATATAATCTATACATGAAATAAGATACGAAAGCAAAGAAATTTTCGCAATGATTTTACAATAAACTTTCAAATAGTCATCATCCTGACCATATGAAAATTTCGTAAAAGCTATGCATTGAGCATAAGACTACCTCTCTAGAATGCATGATAAATTATTTGCAAGGCTAGATCCGAAGCCCGCCACTCATGTAGCAGCTCCACTGCTCTAAGTCCTGCTGCAATCTATGAATACCTATGAATGTAGTTAAATTTCAGGTGGTTAGACAGCTGGTGATAAAAATAGGAAATGAAATTTCAAATATTAACTGCAAACTTTGCTGCTTACCTGATCAACTCCTCACCCAGATGTTTGGTCAGAACCGCTACCTTGTACAAACTGAGAAGAAGAATGAACAACGAACTGTGGCTGTGCTGCAACAGGTACTGGAATCCCTGATGAAACAAACACGCTTTCCTAATCAAGCATATCTAACATGTCAATGCATGTTACTCTAGTTTTCCCTCATTCTTCATCAGATTAAAAACATGGCACGTGTAAAATGAATAGAAATGTGGCCTAAATTGCATTAAGCAACAAAGATATCTCGATATATTATATCCTCTTTGTTCTGTCGTAAAGCAAACTTTTCCTCATCATTTGGCTCCGTAGATCCTTATCCAGTTGTCCTTCAGTTCTGATTTCAATATCCCCATGCACCTTAGATTGCACTTTCTTTCGTCCCAAATAAAAGAAGTTTTCACATCAAAAAATCAAAAAGGAAAAATAATCCTGTGTCCCCATAAGATATCCAGTTTTCAGTCCTCTCTTGTAACAGCCTAAGCCCACCGCTAGCAGATATTGTCCTCTTTGGGCTTTCCCTTTAAGGTTTTTAAAATGTGTCTACTAGGGAGAGGTTTCCACACCCTTATAAATAATACTTCGTTCTCCTCCCCAATTGAATGTAGGATCTCACATCTCTTTACAAGATGGTGACATTTCAATGTAGAGAAACTTGAGAGTTCTATCAAGTGTTACTCGCCACATAACTAAGCCAATGAATGAT